AAGGTTATGAGAATAACAATTTTTCACATTCTCTCTCTTCATCATAGGTCTATTCCTCACTCTCACTGCCTGGGAGAGAGAAGGTTTTAACATGAATAAGTGTGTATGATGTGTGACACATTTATTAATAAGCTATGATTACAATAAAGCTTTAGGCTAGATAACAGATTATGTCATTTGATCTTAAGAACTAACATTATTAACGTAAGTTATTTGGTGAGCATCCCAAATGTGTTAGATTTTGCAATCACTCCTTTCAAGGAGTTTAAATGTTAACTGGGAAGCAGTTTGTTTTCCCCATGCAATGGTTGAACCAAAGAGGTAAAAATTAATTGAAAGATTTTATTATATATTCTTTTACCTCCTTAGGTAAAATAAATATGAAAAACTGTTAATAGATTGCAGACAGTTTCAATTCAATTATTATTATTATTGTTATTATTTTGGGATGGAGTCTCACTCTGTTGACCAGGCTGGAGTGCAGTGACACAATCTCGGCTCACTGCAACTTTCGTCTCCTAGGTTCAAGCAATTGTCCTGCCTCAGCCTCCCTAGTAGCTGGGACTACAGGCATACGCCACCACACCCAGCTAATTTTTTTATTTTTAGTGGAGGTGAGGTTTCATCATGTTGGCCAGGCTGGCCTCGAACTCCTGACCTCAAATGATCTGCCCACCTCTGCCTCCCAAAGTGCTGGGATTACAGGCGTGACCCACCGTGCTTGGCCCCAATTCAATTATTAATGTAAAGACAATTGAACACAGGCATTCTATGGCCTCACTTAGTTTCCCCCAACATTTTAAGAAACATGGTCACCACGTTTGACATATGGTCTTCCCTCCCAAATACTCAGTTAAATTACTGTGTACATTTCTTTATCCCAAATTTTGATTTTCACCACATTGCTTATTTCTGCTCTCAAAGACTCTTCTATGAAGATTGTTGGAGTCTCTCAGTGATCTGTAATTGACGCCAAAATCTGGAGACCCTTCTCAGTTCAGGCCATTATTATTTTATATTCCAATACTTTGAGGGCTTTAAACTTTTTGCTTTGATAGATTTGTAGAATATGCCAACCTAAACATCCTTGTTATTATATATTTCTCATTTCACATGTTTCTTGTGGCTTTTCTATCAGTGTGTTACATTCCTAAGGCAATTTTAGGTCGGTATATTCTATAAATCTATCTTCTTCAAGACTACCCCAAATCCAGTTTCCATTAGAAATTTTAGCTCAAGTATCTCTATTCATCTTCAGATTGAAATGGTGTGCATGAAATGACCTATCAAAACCTTTGAAGTAGGACCAGGAGATTATTATTGTTCTTCTCATACTGTGGCACCTGGGGAAGGCTGATCCATGCAAAGAGAGAGCTGGTTGGTGAGACCTATAAACATGTTATTCTCATGAGCAATGTCCTTATAAGTCATAAATGCAACAGGGAGACAAGCCTGGCTTGGTGGCAGGATGCAAAACTTGGATGTCAAAGCTCAGATTGAGATTCCAGAGCTATGACTGCCAGCTGTAAAAATTGTGACATTTCTATATCCCCCTATAGTGATAATATTTCTTTCATTGTCCTCAAAAGATTATTGTAAGGATAAATGATGCATATAAGAAAGTTCTCAAACTTGTAAATTTCTAAACAGATTTCAGTCGCTGCAATTACTGTTAATAAAAACTGTAAATCATTAAGAATGGGTTAAAAATATAAACACCCTCAAAACCTAAGATTCAAGGAAAAGACTTGAAAGACTACATTCATTTATTAACTAACAGCACAATCTATTGTATTTCCCATGATTTTTGTTAGTTAAGTGACATTTTCTTTATGAACAATGTCTCCTAATTCAAAAATAAAAATAAAATTTCTTTTAAGAGCTAACAGGCCAGTGTGGTGGCTCACACCTATAATTGCAGCACTTTGGGAGGCCGAGGTGGGCAGATCACCTAAGGTCAGGTGTTCAAGACCAGCCTGGGCAACATGCAGAAACCCTATCTCTACTAAAGATACAAACATTAACTGGTTATGGTGGTGTGTGCCTGTAATCCCAGCTACCCAGGAGGCTGAGGTTCTTGCTTGAATCCAGGAGACTAAAATGGAGTGAGCTGAGGTCATGCCATTGCACTCCAGCCTGGGAGACAGAGTAAGACTCCCTCTCAAAAAATAAAAAATAAAATAATAATAATAATAAAGATCCTAACAATTTAAGGTGGAAATAGACATCTATTTTCTCCAGTTAACTTGTTTTATAAAGGTTGCATATTGGCTTATTTTACTAACTTGATTACTCAACTCTTGGAATGGGCCTTATCTTTTTTTTGGAAGAATAACAAAGCATATTTTCCCAGTATAAAACTATTGTACACTTTGAGGAAAAGATGAAAAAAAAACCACTCGTCACTTTTAGATCTCATCAGTCCCAATGGTGCTTTAATTTATATTTAACTTTCTTCACTGTGAAACTGAAGTTCCAATACGGCGTCAAATTAAAAAAAAGCAGCAACAGCATGCCCTAGTTTTTATGGCTTTCAGTGGCTGTTTTAAAGAAGGAATTATTCGGATTGGCTGCAATGGTATATGAAGAGATAAGTTATTCAAATATTTTTCCTACATTGTGCTACTTAGTATGCTAAATTGTGTACTTCATCATCTTTTAAGGAAAAGCACACAGATTCACAGAAACATTTTTCTCGCAATAAAGACATCCAACAAGACAGCTCTGAATAGTGTGATTAACTGAAATAATGGTGGACCTTAGGGTTTTAGCTTTTTCCTACTTCATATTTTAGGTCTGTTATTACCTTAGGTGAGCTCTATTCCCCAAGAAAGATGATGCCAAATTAATTCTTCTGTGACTTATGTCATCGCTATAGCTAGGCTAGAAATAAAACTATGTGTCTCTACCTTTTATGAGATTCTAGGTAGCTATATTTTTTAAAAAACTTATTTTACAAAAACTGCTGAATTTTCTATTTCCTGATAATGATTGTGGACTCTTAGAAATAAATCTTCACACACAGACAAATGAGATTAAACAGACACAGGCACACACACACACACACACACACAAATTCATTTACTGTGGTGAACTCAAGAACACTATTTTAATTGAATTCTCCCTGATACGAGATATAATAAAATGAGAAATTCCTTCAAAGTAAATATGTCTTTCCCTTTTTTAGTCAGGCACGCCATGCAGTGAATGAACACTGTTCCTTTTCTAAAAGTTTTTAGGATAGGTTGCATTTGCTACCTTGCTCATTCCTGCCAAGAATGCATCACTCACACTTTTTCAGGATGTTTATATCTAAAAATCACCAAAATTCTGTCTGTTTGTATGAGTGAAAATAGACTTCAAAAATAACTGATTAGAATAATCTTTGAAAAGTAACCCAAAATTATTAAAAGGACACTATAATCTGGTTAAAAATTATTTGATATATAGATGAATTTCACTAGAATACACTTGTTGATGAAATAATAAATGATTTTTTGAAGCTATATAATTTTACTAAGTTTTTAAAAAACTATCTTCTTAGAGCATGCTAGTATATAATATTATTAATTGCTTTTGGGTTAAGAATGCAATTAACTAATTTCTTCTTTGTTCTCATTTTCTGTGGAATTTATTAAAATATATTTAATAAATGAATTTCTGAAAGTGATGCAAAGCAGATGTGGCCCATAAAATAAAAATAAAATAAATCAATCAGAACCACTTAGACATCCAATGTACAAAAAGCTATATCTTAAATAGTAAAAATTTATTGTAGTAGTTGATTATCCTGATAGAATCAGAGAAAACATTTCAAATACTGAAATTAGTGAAATAGATATCAGTGTAATAGCAAAAATAGCACAATTTTCTAATGGAAAAATTACAGAAGTAATGAGAGAAAATGAGAAGAATGATTGAAATATAGTCAAGAGCAGTCAGACCAGGTATTTTAAAGGAGCGTTATGTGATATATTATGTTGTGATTTATTAATGTGTGTTTTCCTCAAAAGTTTTATAATCAAGGAAATTTGGGAAATTCTGCATCTCATATTCTCCTCTTGAGAGTCACAGTGCATTTAAAGTTTCTGAGAAGTCTTGCATTAATTGGACCTATGCAGATATTTTTTCATTGTGGTAAAATACACATAGCATGAACTTTACAATTTTAAAGTGCACAGTTCAGTGGCATCAAGTACATTTGCAATATTGTGCAACCATCACTACCATCCATCTAGTCCAAGCTATGTAGCTTTTTTTTTTTTTTTTTTT